AGCCAAGAAAAATCGTACCATATCTCTTCACGCTTCGTACTTTGAAAAATGTGTGAAGACGAAACATTTCAACGATCTCTTAACGTTACATACTCTATATAATTATAGAATAATATATAATAATGTTCTAATAATTTAACATTCGTCGTGTAGAAATTATGTAGAATATAGAAATAGTATTTTCTTTAACCTAACGTCAGCACGTTTTTATCTATCATCATATCCGCTGCTGCAAGATCGAAACTCGCTCGTTAACGTCGCGAGATATACCGATCGTTACGGCGAGTCTCGCGATGACTCACGATGACTTTCATACAAATCGTTCGATAGGTACGAGCGACGAAACGGATTCAACGAAAAAGCACGGCGGCACTAGTAAGCTTGCACGGACATCATACGCTACGACGATCTCTCGTTTCGCTCGAGAGTCTCTTCTTTTTTTTTTTTTTTCGTTTATATAGCTAGAGTCGTAAAGTACTTTCCGCTTCTCATCACGTGAGAACGGCTCGGAACACTCTGCTCGCTCTGTTCGCCCACAAAACTACCGATACGTAACCGTGTATGTTCCTAAAATGTAAAAAGTAAGCGCGTGCGTCCACTCTCGTCAAGGAAAATGCGAAACACACTCGTTCCTGATATCAGTTGACTATCTGCCAACTGGTAGCGTAAAAAAGAATCTGGGTTTATGAGAGAATTCCATCATAAGCTTTTCCCGAAGTATCGAAACATTTAATATAATAATTTTGGAACGATTTACAGGCGTCTTGATTTTATCTTACTTTTAAAATAAAATAGAAAAATCGAAGTAAATTAGACAATTTGTGATAAAAAATTGATTAAAATTGGTTCTTGAGTTGAATTGGTTCTAATAACTTGAGAATTTATATTGTAAAAAGAAAAGAAGAAATTGAAAAGAATATATTTTTGTAAGATATTAAAAAAAGATTTTTAATATCAGAAAATAAGTTTATAAAAAGACATAGTTCTATCGTATTAGAATTTTTTTATATCTAATTGGATCTTTTTTTTATCGATTTAATAATATGCAGTATTTTTTTATAAGAACAAATCTTCAAACTTATGTAATTTTATCTGTTATGAAATTATCGCAATATAATGATATTATTATTCTTAGTCGTTATTATGATTTGTCGTGATAAGCGGAATGTAATTGTTTTTTTGACGTAGAAGTTACTTATTCGCCAATATTAATTGCATGCTTCGTTACGTAATATTTGATTTTACCGTTGAATAATGACAATGTAATGCTATCGGGATTGGAAAACGTGGTAAAAACGATAAAAACGATGTTCTGATATAATTTCGTCGAGTCTTTTCTTGTTATTCGATTTTCGCGTTCTTTACATTTCTCGGTCTGCACGCGGAAAATAGAAAGAATGAATCGACATACGGGACCCGTTTTATGTTTCGATTGCTTGA